ATGTGTGCTTGCTACCCCGTGGCTTGCTTCTCAAGTACAGCTGCAAAACCGCCTGGATTCTTGTGAATTTGCTGGTTGAAGCTGGTGAGTGGCAGGTAAAAGCATCATCATCTCAGCATTTTTCAGAATTTCCTGTATCCTTAGCTAGTGATAATGGAGCGATCGCTTTCTTTGGAAATGCTATGGTGCAGCCTGAAAAGGTTCAGGTTGTAAATAATTTTGGATTTCACAACTCTTCCCAGGTGGAGAGAACCCATTTCTAGCAAAAGCTATCAGCCTGTTTCTGACATGTCCGGTTTGGCCACAAATGGAAAAAAGACCTCAGGCTTGATAAACCTCTGGACATGATCCAATGCTGTGCTTAGTTTGGAAAGGATATAAAACTTTAACTTAGTTGATATGAAGTGCAGGCCCAAGGCTAATGTGAGAACGCGTGGCAGCGAGAACAAGCAGCCATAGGCATTTGGAGCATTTCTGAGCCTGCCAAGTATTGATCGGTGAGGGGCAGGAATGAGCGGAGAAGCATTTCAATTTGGCATCCATATGTGATTCTGATGCTGTCACAGTGAATTAGCAGCGCTTTCTTTTCCCTGTGGTCCATACCAGGCTTTTGTCATTGAAGTATACCCTTTGCCCGTATCTACTTGTTAAAAGACGAAGCGAAAAAAATAAAACCCAACCAACCAAACAACAAATTCGCAGGACGTGTGCCCCAAAAAAGCCTGATTATGTTATGCTACTGTCCTCTGAGTGGAGGCTCTGAACAGTACCGAACCATCACTGCTAAAGGCTGTCACAGCATAAATGTTATAGGGGATTTGAGCTCCAATTACTCATTTTGTACAGTCACTTAATCCACTAATGGAGAGAAATGGGGCAACAGTTTAAGAAGGCAAGAGAACTGTCAGAGATTGTTAAACCTACTGGGATGATTTGTTTTGGTAGTTTCTCTTGACCCAAGTACATGCTTCAGCTAACGCAACAGACTTAATGCCTCCGGTAATTAGAGCAAGAAGTGATGGGTCATCATTAGCAACTGCAAATTAAGGGTTGTATTTCATCTGGAAGGCAGCATCTTCAACTGGGCTTATTTGTTGCCACTGCAGATCATCTGTGAGTCACAAGTCCCATTTGTGTGATTTAGTAGAGGTTTTTTCATATATGCTTACTGTTCCACACGAGTCGTTTCTCTAAGTAGTTGCCAAACAGAAAATGCCACAACATTGGGCTTCCCCCTGCAGTTAATGCTACTGCCCTTATTTATGTGAGGTTGGTGATTTTTTTTTTATTGTTATACAGTTCAGGTGACTTTTGATTGTAGGTTTGAAATACATTTGTGGTGTCTATGAAACTGAAGGGTGAAGAAAGGAAAGGCAGGCAAGCATGGAAAGCAGCCGTAATTGGCAGCTTCAGAAAGTAGGAGAGCTGATATAATACCATTCAAGGCGTATATTCATGGAATACTTCACTCTGCGTTTCACAGATCCACAGTCATACTCTGTTCTGAATATTAGCAAAGGCACGAATGAAGATGATATGCCATGGATTCAGTATTTTTGCAGATACTAGGAAATCCCTAAATCCTCTTAGTAGAATACCATTAAGCAAATGAGGACACAGGTACAAAGGAAATTAGCCACAAACTGATTTCCTTTACAAGGGGCTATGAGGTGGGCACCTAAATAAACGGGGGGATGTAGTACAGCTGAATCATTTCAGCTGAACTTGTGCAGATCAGCAGACAGAGAACTATGACTTGAGAAGACCAAGATATTGGAGTGTAGCTTGAAAATCCTTGGGAACAGCTGGATAAATTAATGGATGCTCATCAAGCAGAATTTGGGGGGCTGTCTGTGGTCAGCTAGCTAGGTAAGTGATGCTGACAACCTCCTGAGGGACACAAAGAGGGGAGGAAGGTTGCAGTTCTCAGCAAGAACTGTCGGGGGGTGAGTTTCCTTCTCAGAAATGTGCCCAGACTCCAATGGGGGCTGGAGCCATATTTCTGTGGCTGGCCTTGGCCTCCTCTGCTGAGGGACAAAGCAACAGTTAGCAAATATTCTCCTTCAAGGAACAAAACGTGCTTGGTCCTGGAGAAAAGAGGAGAGTCTGAGAAGAGGGGTGTTCTTCCCTTCTGTGCTGCCCAAAGAGGGAGGAACAAGAAATAGCCTTTCTTCACTCCTCCTTGCTGGTGTGCCTGGGGCAGTAAGGTGTAGGTCAGAGGAAATGTTTTCTCAGGAAGTTGTGTTTGTGCCTTTGAAGCTTGGGTCCATCTTGCATTTTCCCCATTTGTAATCTTACTTTCCTGTACAAGCACCATCAGGATAGATGCTCCCTGAGAAGGACCAACCTGGAGCATGGGTTTGCTTCTGTAGTTTTGGTGGTTAGTTGGAGAAAAAACGAAAAAGGCAAGCTAGAAATCCTGAGCTTCGAACGGGGTGAGCTGCAAAAGCCATGGCCGCTGGTTGGCGACAGGTGAAGGTTTCCCCGCAACAGCACTACATCAGTTCAGCAGATCTCACTGGAGGACCCTGGACGCTTCTCACTTCAGGTCTCTGTCCTCTTTTATGCTTGCAGATGTTTCTCTCTCTGCACTCCCCTTTATCTTTCTCCTTTCTGATGCAGGTTTTTCCCACAGTAGTGTTCCCTCCTCACGCACGGGCATCCACCTCTACCTTTCTCCCGTGTTCTGCGCTATCTGGTCCTCACGTAATGAATGAGAGTCCTTGTTTTCCGCAGGGAGATCAAGACTGGCTGAGGTCTCCCACCCCACCATGCTGCTTTTTCCTTTGCAGAAGGGCCTATGGTTCTCCAATCGCTGCTGTATTTGGCTGGTGGGGTAAGGGCCTTTATCAGTTGCAGTATTTTTTGTCGGTCAAATAGCACTCTCCTCATCCTATAATTAGCATAATGAAATCCATAGGCACTCGGTGCAATTGTCCATCCGCTAAGATCTCCTGCATCCAGTTTTGTAACTACTCTTTCTCTCTTTGGATTCATTGAAGTCCAAGGAAATGATGAAGCTGCAAATTCTTACAGCGGGAGCAAGGAGTGTTCAGAGTTGAGTGATGGTAAGGGAGAGTTATTTATTCTCTTCAGATGGCAGGAGCAGGCGCGAATTGTTCCTCAGATCCTTGGACTTTTGCATAAGCTTGGACTTAAGAACTTAAGTATGCTTGAACATACACCAAAGAGATAGTCCTTTTCCAGAGACTTTATGCCACCTTCCCTCTCTGTGAGGAGGTGGAGCTAGGGACTGTCTTGGAGAACTGCTTCCCAATGCAAAAAGGGTTATAAAGTGTATTATTGTATACAAGAAAAATGACCAAAACCATGTTCTTCATCCGTCTGCCAGCACTCTCCCTTGCTCCCTAATCCATGTTGTCTGCCAGCACCTGTAACTCTCCCTTGCTCCCTAATCCATGTCAGAGGTCCTGGGTATTAAAGTATGGCAGTGTTAAGGCAATTGTCTTCTGTAGGTACAGCGAGCTGCCCGAGGGGACACAAAATGTTTCAGGGACACACTTTAAATGGAATCTGACCATTTGAAAGGCTCATTTTCCTCCCTTTCGTAACCCATGTAACCTGTCCCCACAAGTCCTTCCTAACCTATTCCACTCACCTTCTTTTAGATCCTGCCTTTTGTCTGTCTTCCCCAGCAGAGCTCACCTACCCTGCAAGAGAGCCAGTAAGTCTTGAAATAAGCAAGGATAACGTACAGATCCCTAAAAACTGGGGAGCTCGCCTTTTTTATTGCCCAACTTCCATGGAAACTAGTTTGGGAAGTAAATGCCTACACGTCCTTGTGAAGGAGTGTCCGAGTCCCTCAGCAAAAAGATGAAGGCAAATGCCTGGGAGGTCCAGAAAAAGGTTTGATTTGTAGATTCTGGGGAATCAGATGTCCTACAGGTGTTGGTACTTTATTAATGTACTTAGTGTTGGACTGTTAATAGGAAACATCCCAAAGGATAACTAGCAACAACAGTGCCTGCCCTGAGCTATCACCCAGTGCCTTTTGCCAGCTGCTCTAGAGGTAATAAATCAGGCAAGAAATGTCAAAGTTCAGTTTCTGGGGGGAAATAATGATTTTACTCCAAAGTGGAGTGTGCCTTCCTTAATAAGGGACACTTAGCAGCATGGGATCTCATCTCTGTCACTCCCTTCCACGTGCTGATGTACCCTTTTTTCTAAAAGCCACCAGCCCTCACTGGATCAATGAGGCTTGATCAATTGTTTTTCCCTCTGAATCATCCATATGGGGCTGTTAGCTGAACTGCTGGCAGAAAACGAGAGACAGCTTTCTGCCTGTTTACTGTAAAGAAAGCAAAGCAAACTACAGGAGGGGGACAGGCTGCAGGATATTTACTGTCAATACAGCCGGAGAGAGAGGGGATATAAGGAGAGGGGAGGAGAGGGGAGCAGAGGCTGCAGACTGCAACCCAGATGAATGGTCTGAGTGTGAAAGTACCCAGGCAGTTTCCGATGGGAAGCGGGTGGATTGAAGTCAACAAGGGATAGCTGAGAGTGTTTAACAAACGGTTTGGTGAAGGGGTGGTGAAGCAGGGGCGTACTTGTGGCGCTCAGGACAATAATGCTGGGCACGAGCGTACTGAATCTGTGGTGCAATCTGAGGGGCACCTCCAGATCTGCCCTGAGACAGAGCAGCAGCTGGGGTATCCTTGCGTGTGTCTGCATGCGAGATCCACCATTTAAAAACAATCAGATGAAGAGTAATGATTGAACTTGGAAAATAATAATTGGAACTAGTTTTCCAAAGCAGCTGGATGTCGCCATTGTAGCTCAGACCAGAAAAAAACCTAAAAGTAGGCGTATTTCCTTGCTTCTCTCTCCTCTTCTTCATTCACAGAGGAATTAGGCAACCTGAGCTGCAGAGGGCAAGAAGGCTCTGAGCAGCTCAGTCCGAGTGCCCCTCTGCTCCCAGAGGCGGGTGGAGGAGCCAAGAGTGAATTCGTGCTTTGGAGAGCAGTGAAGACCGTCTTGCCATGAAACCGTTCACAGATGAAGATGTAGAAATCTACATCCAAAGCAAGGTAAGGCTTTATCTGTCCAGATTTTCTGTCTCCCACACTAGGTGTTGATTCTGAAGGGTGCCAAACTTGACAGTTAGTTGCTTGCCTGCTGTCTTCATCTCTTAGATGAGTCTGGGTGAAGTTTCATGAAGAACTGTATTTCTAATGAGTTTTCTAGGTTTCTGTTGCAGAATGTTGTCAGGGATCTGAGCTGGTAGCCTAATTTTTTAAGGTGCTTGTTCCCTCCTTCTTCAGATGTCCTGAATTTTTCCTGAATTCCAGACATGAGACCAGCTGTTAGTTGCCAGCATTTAATCTAATGAAAGTTCTTTGCCTCTCTCCTTGTCTAGTGGTCTTGGCTTGACAGAAACAAGACAGAAAACACACCAGTCGTTGCCCCTAAGAAAGATGCATGTAGGAACCAGGGAGAGAGACAGATATTGTTAGAATTCGCCCGTCAGTCTGTCACCTCAGCTAAGGACACCTCTCTGTATGTCGTGATTAAAATAAGGTGCCTCATTAGCACATGCAGGCTGGAACTACGTTTTCTATTTTATGAGATATTCCAGTACTCTTTTTTTTTTCACATTATGAAATGAAGTAAAACAATAAAATCATCAATGAAACAACATTGTGTAATGAAAGCAACTGTAATTGAGCCCTAGCATTTTTTAAAGCTGACATGTTTCATCACAGAACTTAGCTAGTTCCCATTTTGTAGTCTGCTTTCCCTAACAAAATGCAAAATACCGAAGTGAAAGATCATCTCAGAATGGGAAACTGTAAGGCTTTCTTTCCTGTAAAGGATGCAGTATTCTAGTACCATGAAGGGGCTGGTAAGAAAGGTTTGTTTTCTCTATGGAAATGTTTTGGTGACAAGTAGGTGTATTTCTGTGAGAATTTTCCTTTTCAGCCATGCAGTGTTGTGCACCGGGAAATCATTCCATGAGAATCTGTTCAGTGAGCTCTGACAGTGAACACTTCTCTGAAGATTTATAAAGCGGAGCTACAAAGGAGGGAACAGAGGGAAGCCATGCGCAGGAAGATGCTCATATGACTGCCATAAGCACAAGGAACAGAAGCAGAGTGTGGTTAAATGAGGCTCGTAGTTGCCAATATTTTAGGTTCTACTGAAAGTCTGTTTTCTAGCAGCCTTCCATGGCGGCAATCCTAGTTTCTGCCTGCTTCTGAGTCTCCTGTCCAAGTGAGGCTGCCTAACCTTCAGGCAGCCTCCGTTCTGCTTGTCAAATGCTGCCTGTTTTTGAAAATAGGTCAGCCACCTGATGCAACAAATCTCTGTGATACCCAGGGTTTCTTCAAGCCACTCAGCATATGAGCAAAACTCAAATGCATGTGGGGTGGAGGTGACTGGGTAAATAAGAACAAACCCAAATGTTCTTAACAATTCCCAGTAAATCCAAGTCCTGCTTCCTTCCTCCATAGTAAAACTTTATTTTATCTCATTGGTCTGGTTTTCTGCATATGTTTTGGCATGATTTCCAAAGTAAGGACCTGGTGAGGGGAACGCCAGTAGGTGGTAGGACCTGGGGAGGGGAATCCCAGTAGGTGGTAGGACCTGGGGAGGGGAATCCCAGTAGGTGGTAGAAGTGGCTGTCCAACAAAGAGCTTATTCTCTCTCTTCTCCCGGCATGTCCATGCTAGTGCTGAAGACATCTGAGAGAAATACCTGGGCTCTTCAGAAGCTGTATTCACTCACTCATATTCTGCCTTCTGATTTTTATGCCTTCCCTTCTGTAGGAAGTTTATATCTTCCAATAGCATGATTAGGAAGCTAATTGTGGTTAGCAATAGTCAGCACCATCCGCCACATGCCCTTTCTTCTTTTATCCCTGCCCCAGTGATGTGGAGCACATACAGAAGGAGGTGTTTAGTGATACCTCCCTTAGTAGGCTTTTTGAGAGTCTATACTCTCGTACAGATTTAATGACAGGTCAAATCTACAGGTTTCATCTGTAGACTAGCCAGTAGGTGATGAAGGCACAGTTAAATGAGGCCAGGCTGGGTTGGATGGATTCTCCCAGGATACTGGAGGTGGCTGAAAGTATTTCTGGCAGGTGCCCCTTGGAGGGAACTGCATAAGCAGTGCATACAGGGGCACTCTTAGACCTCTGTTTGAGGTTACTCACAGTGATTGCATACCTCCAGCGGAAAAAGCCTGGGGTTTGTGTCTAAAAGCTCGTAGGGGTGGACAACTTTCTCTACTACTCGTACCATCTGCTTGTTGGAGAAACCATTATGTGTCTTGCTGAGCAAGTCAAGCCTACTGGACTGCTCTAAGCAGTTCTTCTGCATAAGCAAAAACATGGCAAAGAAAATAGCTATAGCAACAGATGGAGAAGTGCCATAAATGAAAGCTGAGATGAGAGGGTGAAAATGAACATGGGGCTAAATTTTTTCAGTATAAATTTTCCTTTAAAAAATGTACATGTAAACTAGCTAAAACTGGTCTCAGAGAACAAGGTTGAACCGGAATGAGGAGGAAGGTGAATTACTAGGGAAATTAAAAGGTATCATATAAACATAAGGAACTATGTGTTGTTAACATGGCAAGGAATCGGTATATCAAGGGTGGATGAGAGCCGGAAGGGAATACGATACTGGTGGCTGATGTATTTTCCACTTGCAAAAACTATTCAGACTTAGTAAAAATGCTGTTAACTATTGGCTGGGGGGGAGGGTATTCAAACTGAATCTCCTCTTCAGGTTCAGTTTTAGTCAATTGCTCATTATTGGTTAATTGACCTTAAGCAAGCACTAGTCCTTTTTAGTCCATTGTGTGGTCTGTTGTGAAGAATTGCAGATGTTTGTCACCCCCCTCCCCGGGGCTTGGAGACACATTTCAACACACTTGATTGTTTTGTCTCACAGTTCAGCATTTGACATAAAGGTGTCCAAATGAACTTTTAATGAAGTGCTTGTCGGTGGTATTTTTGAAAGGGAGAAGAGTGTTGCTCAGATGCTGAAGCAGATGCTAAGCAAGCACGACACAGGAGTTTTATAACAGAACCACAGAATGGTTTGGGTTGGAAGGGACCTTAAAGATCATCCAGTTCCAACCCCCCTGCCATGGGCAGGGACACCTTCCACTAGACCAGGTTGCTCCAAGCCTCATCCAGCCTGGCCTTGAACACTTCCAGGGATGGGGCATCCACAGCTTCTCTGGGCAACCTGTTCCAGTGCCTCACCACACCCATTGCAGCAAATTCCTTCCATATGCTTTCGCTCCTTTTTGCTTTGGTATTTGATAATAACAAAAGACCGTAGCAATTATGTTTGACTGTGGCAATTATGCTTGATCTTTAGCCAAGCTGTTAATGATCTAAAGACTCTTGTTTCATTCCTACTAATAGCTCAGCTTGGGTTTTAGCTCTAGCTTCAGGTGGGTTTTCGTTTTCTTATCTAGTCTTTTCAAACTTCTAATCTGTTTCTGAGTTTAGTTCTCTTCTCCAAACAATGAGATTTAGTAGAATATGATGGGGAAAAAGAAAAAACAGGAAGTTGTAACAACAAAAATTTTAACCAAATGAGATAATGCATTAATATTTTAAAAAGTACAGTATCTCAGCCTGCATAGGTAATTCTGGATGAATAAGTAATGGGGAATATTGTTATGAACATCATTAGCAGTAGCTGAATTTCCTCCTCACTTTGGTAAATGTGTAAGGTTCTGGGGAATATTTAAATGTCCTTCACTAACATGGTTCCTTCATCTTCCTGTTGAATCTTCTTGTTCAGATTTTGACCATCCCCTTATGGTCTCTTCATTTTCAGTAGTATGTGAAGGTTCAGGTCCATCTGTATTTTTCTGAGTTGTCTATACTTCAATTTAATCCTTCCAAGACTCAGACCTTCTATTCAAATAATTTAAAATAAGTAAGTACTGCTTGAACTGAAGGACTATCCATCAAGTCACACAAACACCTAGTCCCCAGTGGGACTATTTGTGGAAAAATACCTTCTCACCATCTAGGAATGGACTCTCATCTGTACTTCACATACGAAGACAGTATGGATACTTTAAACATACATAGGCATCTAAATGCTAATGCACAGGGTATCAGTAATTCTTGGTGTCTTAGCTCTTTGAATGAAACATGGCACTGAGAAAGGCAGGTATATGCAGGGGGATAGCTGGGGTAAAGAATGAGACTGTAGCTTGTTGATAGCAGATTTATCCATGAAATTAACTCCTTCACTTCCATCCAACACATGGATTTATCAATTAATCTTGGCACTCTGGAGTATTGGCCCTTTGGTGTTCACAAGCAGAGGCTCTGCTTCACGGTAAGTTGGTTGTAACATACAGGGAACGATGAGTTTTATTCCCAGCACTGCACAGGCACAAATGTTTCAGGATGCCGTAACTCAGTTCTCTGTTTTGCACTGGAGACAAAGACTGCTGTTACCTGTAAGATAAAGTGTCTTTCTTGGAACTGACAGGTGGAACGGCGACATTATCTGGTTTCCAAAGCAGTGGAGGAGGTGCAGAAAATCATCCAGCAACTGACTGCGGAAATCAGCTGCAAGGCCACGCGGTTCCAGGCTATCTCCAACTCTGGCATTCACAATGAGAATATTAAGGTATGAACAAGAGCTCTGGTGTACTCTCTGGCAACCTGTGGGAAGTCAGTAAGTGATTTTTCCGTTGTATGAGTGTCTGTATGGACAGCTACCTCACCCAAAATGCCACAGACGATACGTCGACACTTCGCTGTGAAAGTTCAAGTGACTCTGTCATAGGGACGTAGTCACGGACATCTTACAGCTAGAGGAGCATCAGGGAGGGCTGGGTAAATCAGGCAGAGCCTCTTTACAGCTGCTGCTTTTACAAAGAGAGTCTATTGCCAGAGCTGTCAATCTGCAAGCAGAAGCCAAAGCTCTTTGGGAGACAGAAAGAAAAACTTGTACAGCAGTATAAGAAGAAAAAAAATGCCCATGCCTTCATGAGCTATGACTCATATTTTTCACAGGTGGAAAACCTGTCAACTGACTAAAAAAAGAAAAAAAAATCCTTCTTCCCTGTGAACATTAGAAAGCTCCTTCAGAAAAATATGTTTTTTCTTGGTCACGTATTGGAACTTCGTTTTACTGGGAAGAAATATGCATATTGGTAGAAGTTAAATGCCTTCCCATTTTAGACCATCAAATAGCAAAATAATAACGTTCTATCCCAGCTGAGACAGGGGGACAACTGGTTGTTTCCAGTGACTACTTAACACAAGAATTACTAGTGCAAGTATATAAGAAACAATCATAGCGATGGCAGCTTCAGATGAAAATTACCTTTTTCATCTGAAGTCCTTTATATACCCCAGCTGTGTCAACCCTTGCACTAAAATGTAGCCACTTACGGACCAAAACACACCAAATATGTAAAAGCATGAGACAACTTGTGCAGCTGCCTAGGACTGAAAGGGTGGAACTCTGTGTGCATCAAGCTGCTGAAAGTATATGGAGGATGTGGTGAAAGGAGGTGCAGGCAGAATATAATCATCCAGTCTGAAGTGTAGCTATTGCTCTGGGGGCAAAACCATTCAGATTTATATCATCTTCTGCGTGTCCCAGGGCACATGGCCTTGCCAGTAGGAATGACCACAGTGATGTGAAACGGTGCCACGTCCTGGTCCACATGTTCCTTAGTGCCACCGTCTGCCACTCACCTCTTGTGCTGGAACAAACCTGCTTGGCATGAAGCCTGGCAAGACCAGGGTCAGGGTAAAATCGCTGTTCTGGAGAGCAAAGCAGGACAAAACCGAGGCAAGCTATTCTGTACAGTAATCTGGCATTACAGTAGACTGATCGGAACAATCTCTGCTTAAAAGGAATCCCCAAAATTTATTTTTCTTACAAAGTAGCAGATTTGTTACTCATACTTAACTGAACCCAGTCCTATGAACCTGTGAGAGTCACACTAGGAAGGCCTGTGTAACTTTCCTGTAGGTACAGGGCAGCAATTATGGCTTGGGCTATTCTGCTTCCAAAAAACAGTATCTTTAATATTGCTGCTGACATGACAGAGAAGACTTGTGTCAAGGGATTGACTAGTCTGTGTTTAATTTACACAGATTCACAGAGTGGAAGGGGTTGGAAGGGACCTCTAGAGATCATCTAGTCCAACCCCCCTGCCAGAGCAGGATCACACAGGAATTTTGCAACACCTTTTTTCCTGTCAGACTTATAGGAACTTTTCAGAACTTTCAGCTCCTGATTAAAAGGATTTAATTCAACACAGTGAGGTTAGGTTTGTTGAGAAGCTGCAAGCCTCCTTGTATATATGTAAATAGGCAGGGCTGGGTGGGGAATATAGAAAAAAAAATCTTTAGATATTCAACATTTTTTGGTAACCCAGAGGACAGAAAGTCAACACATTTAATAAAAAACTTGAAATAAAATCCAGATGGGCAAAATGGCATATTTATTTTTAAAACTTTGAAGTGTTTGTTTTCAGTTGTGGCCCACCATTTTTGTTGCTGTCAACCGCGCAGGGCTGAGGCTTCAGTAGGGCGTAATGAGCAGGTTACATCCAGAGTAATTAGTAATACAGCACTGCCCAACGGCGCTGCCAAGTGTTTAACTCTGTAATCATGTGGGGAGCGGCGGGGGTGTGTGTGTGTAATTTTCCTTTAACAGATATGCTGGAAGGAAGCTTGCAGCTTTGCATTCCATGAATGAATGACCTGGCACATGCTTTCTCTCTGTTCTATGTACTTCTTGTTTTCCCTTTCTGCTTCTCTCAGGATCAGCCAGCTTTACTGGCCAAGTGGTCAGCTATGCTTCGGGGGAAGCGCCCATTCCACCCATCCATCCAGGTACAAAGCCCTCCCGTCACCCGGTGCCTGCCGGTCCGTGTGCCTGCTTCCTCCTCGCCCACCCTCTTCTCCGACAACTTCACCCACCTGACCGATCCTCCCGTAGCTATTTCATCCTCTCCGCAAGCAACTTGCTTTTTTGCTCAAAGTGTAAATATTTCATTTCTAACTCAATGCTCCTCCCTCCCTGGGATATACCAGCCAGGATCGCAAGAATGAGGCTGTATTTCATTTGCCCAGCATACTGCAGGCAAGTTTTTAATACAGCAGAATTGGCCATACATTACACACGCCAGAATTTGAGGTTCTTGTTCAAGCCTGTGGCTTTCTGGGGCCTGTGGGCTGCATATGGCACGCCAGACCATTGTGTGACAGAGTGTAGGTCTGGGACTGGGATTTGTTTGGGTCTAGAGGACACCAGCTGCCCAGCTTGACAGTGCCATCCCCAGCCTTGTGATTTCTGGTGTTTCCTGGTAAGCCCCGGGTGGAGGAACCTTGTGACTTGTGGTTGAAGGCACTCACGTAACACCTGCAGCTCTTCCCTTGAAAATCTGTGGGGTTCCAGTGGTACAGGTCAGCCTCTTGGTATGGGAAGGAGTGGTCCTTTTTCTGCAAATGTGACTGAGGCAGTGAGATGAGCAGTAACTGCATGGCAGCGGTTGTATTTTGTCCTTACGGAGGCTAGCCCTTTGTTCCAGAGGTGCTCACAGGACTTCTCGTCCCCACCAAACCTGACTTGTACAGGTCAGCTTGGTCTGCGATGTCATCCTCCCGGTGCCCTCCTGCCTTTAGGTGGTTTATATTTGACGGAAAAGGGCTTTCTGGTGTTTTCTTTGCCTTTTACGTGCTTCTTGATGGCCATCTTTTATATTGCAAACCTCTTGCGAGGGAGCAGAGAAGACTGGCTGCTCCCTGTGGGAGAGGGAGTTGGAGGTGAGCATGACAACACGGCAGTGCCTGTCCCATGGTCCCCAAGTGAGGCAGAGCGAGGGCAGCTAGGGTCAGCTGAGAGTCTGGATCATCAGGCAGGACTGTGCTGATAAGGCAGGTCTGAGCTTGAGCCAGGAGCATCACTGGGGTCAGGATCAGGCCTTCTGACAGTAACCGGGGTCAGATGCAGTCCAGTGATGGCCAGGCAAGTCCATGGTGGCCAGGTAGGTCTGGGGTCAGGCTGGGGGTGGGACAACAAGGTCTATGGCCAGGGGCAGGCGTAGGCTGGACATCAGCACTCCTGCAACGTAGCCCAGCGCTGAGCTGAAATGCGGGTCCCAGCTCCATGGGTGAAAGGTGTGGGTAGAAGCCCCAGAAAAGCTGCTCAAGGCCATCAAAGCCTGGTGGTGCCCTCAGGACCCTGACACCTCTGCGGTAAGGTGCCAAATCAGCTGAGCTCACAGCAAGGCCACCGTAGTGTTTTGGGGAATTAGAGGAGAGAGCATTTCATCCCCCTCTGGGTAACCACCTTGCAGCAACAGCTGCCACTTCACAGCCGAACTGGTGTTTGGAGATGTCTGGCTGTGCCCTGGGATGGTATGAGGTTTCATGGTCTTTGTGTCACCTTTTTTACTCTTTCCAAATACTGGTTCAGGAACGGTCGTTCCCGCAGTGAGGCCAAGTAATTGTTGGAGGGTTTGTTGCCCGTTGGTTACTGTTTCCGTCCTTACGCTCTTTCTGGCTTCCACTCCGAGATAATTTTCTTTTAGTCTGTGTACCTCCAAAGTGTCCCTCAGACAGGTGTGGAACAGGTCCTGGCTGTAATCAATTGCTCCCATCATGCCATGGCTTTTCCTTCTCCCCAAAGCCCCCAGTTTTACTTATTACTTCCTTAACTTTCTTTTCCTTACTCCAGGCTCATGGATCTGCCCTTGTGCCCTCTCTCAATCTCTCTGCACTCTCCTAGGTCTTAGCACCCAGCCAATTCCTCATCACAGTCCCTCTGCGCGGCCTGACTGGGTACAGGGAATGCCAGGTACGGCACTGGCGTTATTACACCGTGCACGGATCCAAGCTCCTCTCCTCCGTGCGGGACCCCGAGGAACTGCATCAATGGCTAGAGGTGGAGCAGTTCTCAAAAAGCCTTCAGCAGTGGCATGAAACAGATGTGAACATCGAGGGTGATCTGGTGCCAGCCAAAGTCCTTATCGTCTTCCGGGAGCTGGTGGAGAAGTCAATTATCTCCTGTAACCTCTCCAGTGAGTTTAGTGGGGACAGGTAAAAGGGGAACTGGCGGTCTTCTGCAGCTCATAGAGGGGAAACCATCACACACATGAAATCTTTGGTTGATGTGATCAGAAGTTAAAAAGCAACAAGCTTCTCCAAAATCAGGAGCTTTCAGCCTGTTTCAGTGATGCACGTAGGCCTCCACTGAGGGTAGAATTAAGTGGTTCTTGGCCTCTTCATACCCAAAATGTTGCGCCTTAGGAATTCGAGTAGGGTCTCCAGCAACATCACCTTCACAGTTCAGCCAAGATACAACACAGATTTTTCAGAACATTAGGAATTTGTTTGGGAAAAATCTTTTTTTCTACTACAGCAGCCACAATATATCTAGACTAACAAGGAGGATATTATAGGAAAATTGGGTACAGGGAAGGTGCAGTAGTTGGAGGAGAAAGTGCTTGAAGATATTTATAGGGCAGATAATGCGCTGGGGAAACCTTAGCTGCCCATAGCTTTCCAGCATGGGGTGGTGGGAACGAAGCAGGGGGACTCATATTTAGGCAAAGTCTGTTGGACAAGTGCTCTTTTCCCCAGCTCCCAGGCTACTCCAGTCCTCTTTAGCAGAGCTGGGCTCAGGAAGTTTGCTTGTAGTAGTGGTGCTGATCCCTCTGGGAGCAATCCAAAGTGCCTCTTTGTGTCCTGTGGGTATTTATACTGGAAGCGCTGCTCACTGACGTAATGCAATGCCTTCGTAGCTGCAACATCTGTACCAAGATGCTGCCTGAAGAGTCATCCTCATGCTTAATTCTTAGCATCCTAGAGGCGTGCTGTAGACTTCAGCTAATGAACACTTGGCTTGGTCCAAGCCCAACAGCCTATGTCCATCTTTTCACATTAAGGTGCTGTGACATGACCAAATCTGGACTGTGGTGCCTCTTCTCATAGCATGTTTCCAGAATGACTTCACTCATCAGCAGCCTGATACGGGTCTTCTGTAGTCCAGAGAAATAGGAGCCATCTGGTTGCACTCTGAATTTTAGTCACAGGAGAAAATAGGTTAAGGTCCAGCTCAGATAGATCACTGCACTCTTCCAGGAAATATTTGTTTTCATAGAAATGGAAAAGTTGATGGGAAAATCCACCACTGAGGCTCACAGAAAAGACCGGGTAGAATGGGCTTGCACGTGAGGCTTTGCTTATGTGAAAATCACTGCGCTGAAATGAAAACCTGCCATTGTGTAGAGCTGCAGTATATCAAGTTGTTGAGCCAGGAGAAGTACTTCCAAGGGAGCCAGGGAGTGATTATTTGGGCTGATGATTCTGAAGCCTTTTTTGTAAGGCCAGCTGGGAAGAGATTGGCACAGAGGATGTGAGCTATGATGAAGTCAAGGGAAGTAATTACCTTTTCTGTTTGTTTCTGTGAAGAATGAACTTTGTGTATCCCATAGTACAACTAAAGTTATGGAAAAGTTTTCCTGATTTCATTGCTTCCCTGTTTTTTAATTCTTGGAGCACCACCAAAAGCAGTTCTTGAGATGCCTCAGTCTTCATTGGTGAAAAAATAGGTAGCATGATTGCAATGCTTTTGGAAATACTGTGAGTGTATTTACATGCTGACACAGTGGTTGTGCTAATGCTTTTCGGCTGCTAGGGATCCCTGCTGAAGGCTTGGGAGCAGTACAGTGCCGGTTTTGGTGCCAGGCGTGGCTCAGCAGGGAAATAACACACCGATTTTACTGAGGGTTATAAAGTACTGGTGGGGATGGACTCCACTATTTGCAAGGTAATTCACCCCGGCGCTTCCTGGAGAAGACTTTGGATTACCACTGGGAGTAGGCAGGCATTTCCTCTGTGAGGGTAGATGTTGTTCATCTTGTTATCCCTTCAAGTCTGTTGCGTGGGTTCCATGCTCCTTAGACCATGACAGTTAAAATGAGGTGGGTTGGCACGCTACTATTTAAACTGCTTGTGGCATTCTGCCCCGTCTTTTAGTTCAGTAGGTTAGAGCATGATCACGTGATTGGCTCAGATGGCAAAGTTGAAGGGACAGTGGTCCTGCCAGAGTGACAGGGAAAGCTGGGGACAGAAGCTTTTTCCCTGAACGCAGCTGGACCAGCAGGAAACATCTCGCCTAGTCCATCAGTTGCAGCTTTCATTCCTTTCTGCTCTCTCCGAGCACCCTGCTCATGGAGATGAGCCCCTCCTCTTTCACTGAGGAAATTTCTTTCCCCCAAATCACCACGGAACTAACTCTTTTGGCACTCGGCAGTCCCAGTCAGGCAAGCAGTTAGCCCTTTTCATCGGACTGCTCTGCACAACAGGCCACAAATTCTGGCATTGTCATCTGTGCAAATGCATCTCCAGAAACAAAACTTACCGATATCCCCTGAAATGTTCTGAACAACTGGCGAGGGTAAGTAATTTGGTCTGATGACGGGTTCTCTGAAGGAATAAGATATGTTCATCTGGTGCCCTCAACAGTGATCTCCTTTTTGTACTGTACTGTTAGAAATGTTAGGTTGCACCAGCTGTCTATATGTATTTTTAAGAAGCTGGTCCTAGGATTTAAGAGGACCCACAGAAGAAAACAAAAGCAAGGCAATTGAGTGTAAAATTGAGAATTTAATTGTTCCTTCATCTTTTTCTGTTCTCATCTCCCAGGGTAATTAAGATGATAACTTTTTTATTGTATTCTTCTTACGGCCCTGAGGAGACAGTGTGAAGACAGAACAATAGAACTGCAAGGCCCTAGACAGCCCTTCGCTTGGCTTGTGGAAAAGAACCTTTTCCTCTTTATTATCTTCTGTTGCTGTTCCTTCACAGGTAAAGTGACGATGCTGGAGAGCTTCAGCTCGGTGGTCCGGGTGGCTGTGGAGACGTCAGAATCCCAGGTTGAGGTGGAGCTTGTCCCTGCTGTGGAGATTCCAACTTGCTGGCCTGAGAAAGCCCAGTGGCCTCGTTGCCTTAAGCGCTGGCCTTCCCAGGAAAAAGTGCAGTGCATCAAGGTGAACAGCGTCAAAAGCACCATTAACTCTGTGCCGGGATTCACCTCACAAGTGTCTAACCGTGCTGACAGTGGTTTCCCAGCTGAAGGACTGCATGGCAGGCGGCAGCACACTGGGAAGGTGTATTCGCTAGAGAAGCGATATTTCAAAGTGTTCTGTCAGATTGTATTGGGATACTTTTTCCCTTACGGTGGTGAATTCTACGGGAGAAAAACGGAGTTAACTGTTCATGGCATGAGTCCCTGCCTGTGTAGCTCAGCGCTGACATGCATCATTCTTGCTGTTCCGCTCTGCCTCACGTGAGCCTTCTGCACATGGGCTGCTATCTCACTGTTTTCCTTCCAGCCTAATCCCATCTTTTCTTACAAAGCTCATGTCTGGGGTTTGGCACTCCAGCTGAGCCCCAGCTGCCATGTTCCTGCAGGTTACGTGGTTACTCCAGTTACGCCTTCCAGTCCTGCTCTGTGGCAAAGTGCCAGCAGAGCTGTGCCTCTGCTTTAGTAGCACTGCTGGTACCGCATCTGGTGGCTCTAGAGCTGGTTATCCTGGGGGTAGTTGATGTCAGCACATGAGAAAATAAACCAAATTGCAGTCATTTGGCTAGGAACTGGGAGGGGAGCATGACCCATGTTTGCTGCCTCTGCTAACCCCGTTTAGAATACATGTTGAGAGATGTCACACATCCTTTGTGTAACCTCTCTCTGCGTCGCTCAGAGAAGTTTGCCTCTGATCTGGTGTCACATGTCCCTTTTTGTCTGCAGTCGCTTGGTTTTGACCTTTTGGCCCGCTCCAATTATCACTGGCAGCTGTGCTTCTCCCGCGCCGAGCACATGCTCATGGAAGGGCTCGATGAGGATGGTGGTTGTCGCATGAAGTGCTTCAGGGTGATGAGGCAGATGAAGGAAGACGTCTGGTGTGCTGGAAATAAGCCTGTCATCACAGCGTATCACCTTCAGGTAGGCATCACCGTGATACCAAGATGTCAGTACCTGTGGCAGGGCCTTCCCTGCAGTAATGTGCCGTAAATCACTGTCGCGTCTGTGTGACTTCCAAGGTAACTGTCAAAACTGTGGTACTGTGCACACTGCTTTACAGTGGCAAGGAGTTCAGTAAATATATGTTCCAGACTTCCCCAAGAAACTGAAGCCTGTAGGGATATTATGATTGCAGCAACATAGATAATGTTAGAGTTGAGGCCGCTGCTCTGTTTCGACCTCACCTAGGCATTGTAATAAATACTGTCTTAAATTCACCACTTGGAGCGAGTCCAGAGGAGGCCACGAAGATGATCAGAGCGCTGGAGCACCTCTCCTATGATGAAAGGCTGCAAGAACTGGGCTTGTTCAGCCTGGAGAAGAGGAGGCTCCGAGGAGCCCTCATTGCAGCTTTCCAGTATCGGAAGGGGGCCTACAAGGGTACTGGGAGAGGCCTTTTTACAAGGGCCTGTAGTGATAGGACATGGGGTAATGGGTACAAACTGAAATCAGGGAGGTTTATATTAGATATCAGGAAGAAGTTCTTCCCGGAGAGGGTGGTGAGGCACTGGGAGAGGTTGCCCAGAGAAGCTGTGGATGCCCCATCCCTGGATGTCTTCAAGGCCAGGCTGGATGTGGCTTTGAGCAACCTGGTCTAGTGGAAGGTGTCCCTGCCCATGGCAGGGGGGTTGGAACTGGATGGGCTTTAAGGTCCCTTCCAACCCAAACCACTCTGTGATTCTATGATTCTACTGCACAGTTACTTCCAGCTTTTTGACTATCCCAGCCACCCACACCCATCTATCTGTCTGGAGGAAAATTGTGCATTTGTCTTTGTGGATGTGCACCAAGCAAAATTCTCTAGGTGAGCATTATTTCATGGATGAGGTGCAAACTGACAGTTCTGGTGTTGTTACACCAGGGATGGGGAAGGAAGACGGGGTAAAGGGGTGGAGCCTTCTCCCTGCACGTACTTCAGGGTTCAAGGTGGTTTCAAACATTTGTGAAGAAGATCAGATGGCTCTGCTATGACTGTGTCCCCACGTCTCACAGCTGTGGACAGTGATGGACCACAGGCAGCACCATTTATCAGACAGTAGAGCAATCCTGTTTTTTCTAGGCAGCCATCCTCCTGGAGCTGCCAGGGAGAGGGTGTTCTTCTCCCACCCTGAAGCCTCAAGCTACCAGGCTTCCATGGTAATTACTGATCTTTTGGTGTCCAAAGCCAGATGCAGTGCCAAGGTTTCTCCTAAAGGAAAAGTTGTGACTATCAAATGCTATTATAGTCATGGGACTAATCTACATCAAGATAAAGTCAAAAAAGAGTTGGTGAGGCTAGTTATAGCTTAGCAGAATGCAGGACTTTGGTGCCTGCAAGAACAACCTGGTGGAAAAACTGTCACGGGTAGGAGAAAGTGGAAAACCATTTAACCATTAGTAATGACTTCTTTGTCTGGCTGAAGGAGAAGAGGTGCAGGAAATGCTGTTGCATGGACTCTTGATCAAAATAAAAAGCTCTTTAGAAGCTCTTCAGTTCTTTACTGTAACTGTACTTCAGGCTTTTACTGCAAGAGAGGGCTGGTTTCCCAGACAGAAGGAATCCTTCAACATTACTTACATTTAAAAAAAAAGAAAAAAGAAAAAGGAGAGAGAAATGGTCGATAAAACAGCAGTTGAACAGAGGCTTAGTGTTAGGTTTCTTCACATTATCAGGGTTCGCCTGTCAGCGGTATCTAACAATTATGAGGTATCTAACAATTATTATTAAACAAGACTCCACATGAAAAAGGCCCTCTATGACAGAGAAAATCCTTCCCCCAGAAGCTGTGAAAGCCTTTGAGGACTGAGTAAGCACACTCATGCTTACCTCCACGAGAATGAAGTTCAGGGTCAGGCAATCCGAAAGACCTAGGTACATTTTGAAAGCCTCGGGTAGACAGCTGGCAGTTAGCGATGGTTCAATAAATGCTGATGGATCACGTGTTTGTCACCTGAGTGGAAGAGCAGCAATTTCCCTCACCTCCAGAAGCTTCATTGCGACTGCTGCCCGTGGATCTTGCTGAAGTAGTTTTAGTGTGACGAAAGGTAACTGCTTTGCAAGTCTCTGAGGAGTGGTTCTCATGGAGTTAGAGCTTGAATTCCTCACTCCATCTTTTGTTCCCTGGGAACATTAAACAAGTCTTTGCAGTTATTGTAGCTGTGAACAAAAAACTGTTCACATTTGAAAAGCTGTCCAAGAAGAAATCTGTCAGCGATGCAACTACTGCAAGGCCTGAAATATATTAGAAAAAAAAAAACCAAACCAGGCAATCCAGAAGAGTGTGGCCTGTTTTGGTGAAATTCTACCTCTGAAGAAACAGCGGGGTTGAAGGCTGTAGTTTGGCCACATCTCACAGCTACTCTGCATCTCTTTTTGGGTTGCTGGATCTGCAAAATAAAATTGGGATTCAGGGGTCAGTAAGGAACTTAATAGACTTACTGAACCCAAGATGGGTGACTTTGTACTTCCAAAACTGGTTTCAGGTTGAGCGAGTCAGCCAGCATGTTTTTTTGGTACAGTAAGTACCTGGAAAAATTTCTTTTCAGGGAAGTCTAAAAAATGCAATATGGGTAGCATAAAAATAATACTGTAAGAGCAATAATCATATGTGGGTTTTTTTAAATTTTAACTATGGATTTCTCAAATGCAAAATCACATAAAATAAACTTGGGGAAATAGAGCACAGCACATACTCTAAGTATTGGAAAAAACAGGCTGTACTTGACCAGAAAACATGCCCTGCACTTGCAACAGTTTCTTAGAATCAGAATCTGTTGGGGATGCAGATCTGTGCACACCTTCAACACAAATAAAGCTGAAGCTAACAAATAATTAGGTTAATCTGATCATTCTTCTCTCCCTCTGTGCACCAACTTGTTTCTACATTTATCGAGAAGGCCATTTTCTACAGCCTAAAATGCCTAGCATTTCTACTGAGGCTCCTGCTGGAGGATGGCAAATAGGCTAAGATTATTTTAGCAAGACCGTTTTCCTTGGGCTCCTGGCCCAGTCAGTGGAGAGGGGCTCCTCTCCGGAGAGTTCCTAACCAGGCACATCCAAGTTGCTCTGCCTGATCTTCAGAGGAGGCTTTATTTGTGATCCCTCCGTCTCAGAAATGTTAACACAGGGAGATAGCAGTGCGAGTGTCTCCGATTTCCAAGGCTGCCAGCCTTTTCCCAGCACCGAAGCTGCCTTAGTAAGCTGTGCAAGCCCTCGACAGAACCTCTAACACCTCTCCTCTCCCATCTGCTTCTTGCAGACAGTGCTATTCTGGACGTGTGAAAAATACCCACGCACCAAGGATTGGCGCTGCTTCCCTGAAGCCTTTCTGAGGCTGGTGCAGAAGCTGCACAAGTGTGTAAGCCAGCACTTCCTCAAGCACTACTTTATCAAGAACACCAATCTGCTCAAATACGCCAACACCAGTGACCTGGACCTGGTGGCCAGCAAGCTCGCCGTCTTCTTGGAGAACCCCATCTTCAGCTTGGATTAAGGCAGGAAAAGGCCTCCTCACCCCAACCCGGAGCCGATCCCTTCCCTCCTCTCCCTGCCTGCGGTTGTTCCTCGTGTCCTTCCAGCAGCCGTTGCAGCTGGCTGTGTAAGACAGCTGGCACATGCGGCGTGGAAGAGAAGTGGCAAACT